CCGAAATCAAGTCTTCTTCCGCGGATCCTAGTAGTTCCACGTGGTCGAATTGCTCTTGTTTTCACAGTTAAGGTTTCGATCTGTTTTGCGAGTGAACCAATGAGCCTTGTTCTTCGATTTCTTAGAGAAATTGGAGAGCATCTTCTTGACAGCCTCGGTGTTAGCGTTAGTGTTAGCGTTAACCGTAGGTGCATCGGGATCTGCCGAGTTGTCAACGTTGTCGCTTTCGTCGCGAGTTTATTGGTCGCCAGACATCGTTTCTCGATTGACCGTGCTGTGGCTTGAGAGTAAGATAGATCCAACCCCCCCCCCCCCTCCTTCTAGCGCCAAACTGTGGGTACCAAAATTCACCCTTGTCGACTTTACGTAAGTTTAGAAATTTAGAGTAAACCCTTATTTCCCAAAGGACCAGGCTATCTGCGGAACCGCAGACAAGCAATCAAGAACATGGCGAGGTTAAGTAAAAAGAAAATAAGAAGATGTAAAAGAAAATCGAGATTGAGAGTTGGATCTTATTCCGAGTTCGCGTAAGAGTGGTACAAAAATAGTAGCCTTAGCTACGTGAGCCGTCGGCGAGATTCCTAACCCTAACAATCTAAGTCTAAAACCCTAGTTGAGGCGCAGCTCGATAACAAAAACATAAATATTCCTAAGTGCTAAGTTTGGTGGTGAAAGCTCTGAAAACTCGTCATTTGCTTCTGTCCTCTGCCTTCTGCTTATATACTCTCTCCTTTAGGCGGTTTAGTCATTCCTTTTCGCCCAGATTCGAGTTTATCGGGAATCTTCCATTTATCCCGATCTTTCCTTTTTCGTTGCTGAAATCTTCAATTTATCGGGAATCTTCCATTTATCTCGATCTTCTTTCTGCGAGTAAATCTTAAAACTGTCATTGTACCTTTGGGCTGGATTTCGTTTAAAGTCGCAAGTGGACTTTTATCGTGTTTTTGGGCTGTCCGAGCCGTTTTGCGATAAAAACCGTTTTACGATTTTAGATGAGATCATTTCCTGATACGAGGCCGCTTTTATAATATTTCTCAAGTCGATCGTATAGTTTGAAAATTCATGATGTTCCGTCTAATCGTTGCCGCTTTATACGATCTTCCCAAACTTTACGAGAAAAGAAGACTTTTATGATTTCTATCATAAAACTTGAACGGTAAGATGGATCGAGATGAAACAAGAGACGTTTCGACCATGGTTCAGAGCATGATCGAACCGAAGGTCGTATGCCTTGAGTCGAGGACGTGGGAGACCAAGGCTCAGGACGGTCAGCTCAACGTACGGCTAGCCGAACCGGGTTGGTTCAGCTCACCGTACGGCGAGCTGAACCGGCTGGTTCGGCTTGTCGTACTTTGAAGTTGGTGCGGTCAAACCTGCTCGCGGTTTACGGCGGATGCGATTTTTCGCTTAACTTGGGCAATCGTGTAATCGGTGATTGTTTCGTTCGTTCTTCCGAGATGACGATTTCCATGTTTTCCGCGGAGTTACTTTTCTCGGAAAGTTCTTAGAATTTTATAAAACGACTTCTCGAGTTTTATAAAACGTATTTTTATTTTTCTCGGAAAGTTTTGGTCATTGATTCCGTTGTACTAATTTTGACCCCAACAAGCCCTAACATTTCTGGCCCCTATTAAGCCCTCAAAAACCTTGAGTGTAATGTACCTACCAACCATGCCCCAAAAAAACTATCCTTCTCTTTCCACGAATCATCCGTGAAACACCAACATCTTGGTATGGATGGTAAATTCCTAACCTCCCCCGGAGGTGCTGGTTGCTGAGGCTGTATGTGTTGTGCTTCAGTCCAAAGAGTTAACTTCCGTCTCCGCTATTCAAAGCGTATCTCGAGGATCACTATCCAAATTTCTAAACATTTTACTATTCTATCCTTTCCAAATGTACCACAATATCCATGCAAAGTGATAATCATCCATTTTTTGGGAATACTCGCCAAAATAGATGATCCATGTTTGTAAACAAAGATCCCCTAGGAAAATCGATGGATTAGAGGGTATCTTTGATAATGCCGAGACTTAGCATGCTGGAGGGCATTAAAAACACATGATTTATTGATTCCTCGTCAGCTCCACATCTAGCACAACATGTCTCCCCTTGCAGTATCCTTCTCACCTTTAAGTTCTTTTTAACAGCTATACATCTCGATATCAATTGCCCTGAAAAATGTTTTATTTTCGGAGGGCACCGTACCTTCCAAAAAAAAGCCTTTAGTGGATCCACTGTGGGTCTCAAATATTTAGGTGTCCTTTCTCTGTCAGAGTAAACCCTCTCTACTTGGTATCCTGATCTAACCGTGTATTTCCCATTCTTAGTAAATTGTCATCCATCCTTATCGTCCATATGCTACCTGCTGAGTGGTATACTTTCTATAAGTCTTTCATCCTGAGGGTCCACCATTGTCCTAATTTCCTATATATTCCAACTTCACAAATCAGCATTGATGAGAGAGTTGACTGCAAGTTCCGGGTACAAATTATGTTGACTTTTATTTGTTGGTCTCGGGCGAGTGGTTGGGAGACATGGACCATTCCATACAGATATGGAAAATTCTGGTCCCACCCGTTTGATTAGTCATTTTCTAACCAGAGATCTAGAAGAAACCATACTCCTCCATCGATACGATGGAGAATATGATCGACTCGATTCCAAGGGTGATGAATTCCTATAATACCAAACCTTGAAAACTCGGGCAAATAATGTGTTTAGTTTCTCTATTAGTCGCCATAATTTATTTCCCAGGATAGCCGTGTTAAACTCATCCAAAAATTTAAGCCTCCTTAATCCTTATTTTTACAAAGTTTGTCTCATGATTTCTAATGCATTCCTGTTGTGCTCCCTCCAGAACTCCACCAAAATTGGGCTGTAGCACTCGTCAGTTTCTTTGTAGTCGCTTTAAGTATCCGATAGCAAGAGATTACATGATTTGGTAGAGCCGTGATCACAGACTTGTTGATTACCTCTTTTCCTCCCTCAGTAAACAACTTGAACGTCCACCCATTGACTCTATTACTTAACCAGTTCTGAGCAATCCAAACACCTGGATCTTGGATCCACCAAGACTCTCTGGTAATCCCAAATAAGATCCCTTTCCTCCCAATTTTGAATTCCTAATATGTTTCACAACTCCTGTCGGTGTGACTCTTCAATCTTATGTCCAAATTGGATGGAAGACTTTTGGAAATTAATCAATTGGCCCGACGCAGCCTCATATTTCTTAAGTATCCTGAGAAAGTTTTGACACTCTTCCAATTGTGCCTTACAAAAGAAAATACTATCATCTGCAAAAAGTAGATGAGAAACCGAAGGTCACACTCTAGCAACTTTCATCCTTGTCAATTGTTTTTGTCACTCCGCTTTTTTGATGTTTGTGATTAATGCCTCAGTACACATAATAAATAAGGCGACAGGGGATTCCCTTGTCTTAATCCCCTATGGGGAGTGATGAGTCCCTGCGGTTGACCATTAAGTAAGATGCGGTACTGAACCGACGAGATATTCTCCATTATAAGAGTGATCCAATGAGTATCAAAACCCATTTTGTCAAGGAGAGCCTTAATGAAGTATCATTCCACCCTATCATAAGCTTTACTCATATCCATTTTGATTGCCATAAATCTTTCCTGACAATATTTATTAGTTCGTAGACCATGGAACATCTCCGGAGCAATGAAAATATTATCCGATATTAACCTCCCCGCCACAAATGCCGATTGAGTTTCCGAAATGATATTTGGTAGACAACTTCTCAATTGCTGACACAAAACCTTTGATATAATTTTGTATCCCACATTACAGAGACTTATCGGTCTAAGTACTGTCATCCGTGTAGGTCTCCGTCTTGGGTATCATAAAAAAATGGGTAATGTTTAACCTTGAGTCAAGAACCTCTGAGACCAAAAATTTATTCACCATTGCTACTAAATCTTGCTTGATAACATGGCAAGAATGTTGGAAGAAATAGCTGTCAGTCCATCTGATCATGGGGCCTTCTCTAGATGCATCATCAATAGAGCCTGTTTAACCTCCTCTTTCGTCGCTCTGTTCGTAAGAGCCTTTCATCTGGGTAGTAATTGTTGTTGGAACCTCATCCCAAAAGTTGGAAAAATCAGATGGGGATGTAGTAGTAAATATATTTTCAAAATAGTGCACGGCTACCTTTTCCACCCCATTTTCCTCTGTTATTCAGTTCCCAGCATCATCGTGAAGCCCCACAATTCTATTATGCACCCTCCGTTGTTTTGTTAGTGTGTGATAAAATTTGGTATTAAGATCTCCTGATGAATACCACATATTCCTACTCTTTTGGTACCAGTACTCCTCATCATCCTTGTATGCATCATGTAGTTTCCTAGATACCTCCAAAATATCATCCTGTGACTTATTGTTATCCATCTGTACCTCTTCCAATGCACGTAGAAGATCCTGAATTTTATCTTTTCCACAAGTGGGATTATTCTTCCGCCATTTAGCTATTTCATGCATGCAATTACTGATTTTTGTAACTACGTCCATGATCCTCATTATTTTCTGTCCACCCGCAGACAATGGATTCAATAAGACCCTCTTGCTCAATCCATAGCTTATCAAACCTGAACTGTCCTTGAGCCATAAAATGCCATTAAAAACTCCTAAGTCCTCAAAGTTTAATTGGTATGACGACACCAAAAACCCTTGGTTTAAAGAGGCCAAGTGTGCTTTTCGAATCTGTAACTAAACCCCCACCATTCTTATTCCAAAAAAAAGCGATACAAACCAGGAAGCCAGTACTCCTTAATAATGTGTATTTCTAGTGAAAAAACTCAATCCATAGTGCCATACTTTTGCCTAAAGCCACAGTACCAGCAATGTAAAAAACACATAACACCATTTTATTTCTTTTTAAGACCAAAACATGACAGCTCACAGCTCTGAGGCTATCATAAATGCAATAAAAGAAACAAGAACGCATAGACTTGTGCTCATAAAGCTTATTAAAATTGCAGAAATTAAAAACCAGAAAATAACCACGACTTCCCACCACCAAAAGTATAGGCAGTACAATCCATAAAAATGCTTTGAGTTTTGGGGACGATGGGCTTAGGGTTTGAAGGTTCCTTATCGGTAGCCTGTTTGGTGTCATCTCCTTGGCACGGACCAGCCTTGACCTGCGCATGCTTACGTGGTGATAGAATTGCCTGCACAAACTTCTTCCTAGATGTACCCACAGGCATTGTCGTTTGCTTAAACAACATCTTACGTGGCTCTTTCTTTTTCTCCACCTCCCCATTACCAGCTCCCTTCTCCACTGTGTCTTCTTTTTGAATACTGATCGCATGGGATCTATTAGCCTCTAACTGCAACGTCTCTGTTTCCGCAACCTCCCCATCAGTGAGGTTCTGGAGATCCTCATTCTCACTAATACCTCTATCATTCTCCACATCACAACCATCTTATCCTCATCAATCTCCATTTCAATACCCTCTAAAGTATTATCCTCATCAGTTCCTAGTTCAGGATCTACCCCTACCACATTATCCTTGTTCTTAGATTCGTAAGATACCTTTGGAGGAGCCACAAATGCCAATGTTGAATCATCAATAATCTTGTGTGAGGACACAGCTCCGTGTTACTTATCGTCCGCCCTATTTTCAGATCATTTCTCGCAAACTCTTCTTCTTCTCTTGACTCTTGTGGCAACTTCCGCAATGGATTTCTCTCATTTCCTCTCCCAGGAGATGATCTAGCCTGCTCCTCTGGATAACTCTTACTGCTCGTTTCCTTGTGAGAACTTTGATGACGAGAACAACTACCTTTGCCTCTCATATTGTTACAAGTAGAGTAAGACCTTTTGTTATCCCTTTCAGCCACTCGTATCCATTTAGATTCCTACTTCTCATACATTTTCCCCTTACCCTTACCAGAGTGATCTTTTAGCACATTTTCCCTTTCCTGGTAGTTCTTGTTGCCGTTAACGACTATCCCCTATAGCTCCTTGCTCTCTCATCATGGTTATCATGGTGATCTTCTCGGGACTCCTTCTTCTTGGCGTCACTCCTAGGATTTAAAGGGCATATATTCTCATCATGTCAGAGGCTGTGTCTTAACTCACAATAACCAAACAGTTTCTCATAGTTTAGGGAAACCAGTACTTCTTCCCCATCATGAGACTCCCATCCTTTGAAGTCTATTGTAGTATCAAATATAAGCTCTTTGCAACTGTCCAACTTCACTTTAATCCTGCCATGATCTAGATCTACCTCAAGCCATTCTCCCAAAGCCTCACCAATGATTTCAAAGGTTTGTGCAGCCCAGAATTCAAGGAAAACCCCCAAGACCTTCACCCAGAAAATTATTTGCGAGGGATGCCATCTCTCAAGATACAACATCCAGTAGTCAAAATGAAAAGGTTGCTTGCGCAGAACGGCTTCAATATCCTCCTCATCAATTAAGTCAAACTGAAATTTTCCCAATCCCAAATATGTTCCAATCACCCAAGATTCCAAATCATGGGAAGGTTGGACACCAGCACTTTAACATCTTGCATTTTTGGGTTCATACAATGCCCAATCAACGTCTTTGCATAGCCTTCGATGAGGGCTGTGTTATCAAAGTGTGGCACCGTGATTTTGAGCCTCTTAGGATTTCCTTCCCTTCTTATAGAGTTCCCAATAATCTGACTTTGTGCCATTAGCTTGAAAAAAGATTTAAAAAAACAAAAAAACCGTAAGGAAAGGTAGTGATGAATGATGTGTGTGCTATCAAATAGAAAATATGATTCCCAATATATAGTAGTTCCATGATATGCATCCTAGAATCGTAATCTTAGAATCCATCAATGTCAATCTGCTGTTATTGATACCCAAGTGATTTGCAAAGATTGAGACAATTGAACTGAATAACTCTAGATTCCAGAACCAAATCTCTGTATTTCCTATCCCGCTTGATGTGTATAGTATCCTAAATACCCAGTGAAAATAATGAAGATATAAACTCCAGATCAAAAATTCTATTTTTCGATTCGAAAATTAAAGTTAATTTGAAATCAGATAGGTCATGCGATATCACTTTAATGAGAACGATAATCGTACCTTGAATGCTTCGTGAATGGAGAATCCTTGAAGATCTCTCTTTAACACGAGAAAAAAATCAGAAATCTGCCCATATCCTTATTCTTTTCCAGATCCGGTTGCCTAGCTTCTCCAAGATTCCATTGATTTGCCAAAAGATATCTCCTTTCCCAAATCCCTTGATTCTTCCATCCCTTTTGGAAACCATCGTACCCATGAGATCTTGTTTGCCAAATGCCTCTTGAAAATCTCTGATTGCCTTTTAGAAACCTCAGATAGATCCCATCCGTAGAAAGCCATCAAACCCTAGTAGATCGCCCTCACCATCACCGTCAGTTTCGAGAGAGTTTTATAAAAAGGTTTTAATATAAGAAAAACTACTTTTTAAAACAAGAATATCTGTTTTTTTAGAAATTTCTTTTTGACAACCCAAATTTGTTATCTAATGGCAAGCCAGGTCAATAATGCTCTTGTATACTTCAAGTCTCCTACTTTTTACAATGAGAGACATCTGTTTTGACTTGTCTGTCACCTAACTTCACCAGAGGTATGTATTTGCTTGTTCTTTTCTCTCCATATGAACAAGAGAGTTGAGTGAAGAACCTTTCCAAATATCCTACATTATTATTAGTGATGGATTCAGATTTTTTTTTGGATCGGGGGCACATATATTTAAGATCGTATATATAATTAAATGACATATTTTTGTAAAAATTAAATGATAGTATATATAGTTGGAACGCTCGATCCATAAGGTTAAAAAATTAGTGTCGAACAACACCTATGAGGCATTGATCGACACCTCTCAGAACTTAGTGTCAACTGATACTAAAGAAGCGTTGATCGACACCCTAGGTGAACAAGCAAAGATGTCAATCCAATTGACCAGTGACTGATCCACAAGGAGTTGTACGAGACCAAGAGGGTCTTGCATGAAATGAGGCTGGGTTGAGGCTTGCTGATCATGAAATTTGATTCCTAGTGAAGTGGTTGGTGCTGAAATTGCTGGAGCTGTTCGGCTGAGAAGACTTGGAAACTATAATATTTCTGTAAGTTCTATGCTAACAGCTATGCGCTTTGACCTCCACCATTCTAGAGGAATGACATCAAGCTGAAACTTGCACACATCACTCTTGTGGGTCAGCATCCTTTTTATGGTTTTCCTCATGAACACCCTACGAACCATCTTGAAAAGTTTGAAGACTTGCAATCAAGCATCAAACTAAATGGAGTCTTTAAAGACTATCTTTCTAGCAAAATGTTCCCTTACTCTCTAACTGGGGACACATCTTATTGGCTCAAGCAGCTGCATCCATGGTCTCTTACTAATTGGAAGGATGCCAAGAATGCTTTCTTGAACAACCTATTTGATGATGCGAGGTCTGGGAAGCTGAAACAAGATCTCCATGTTTTCTGAGTGACCTACTAAGTCATTCAAGACTTCTTGGACCCGATTTAGAACTTACCAGAGAGATTTTCCACATCATAGCTTAACTGAAGTTCATCTGCTTGGAATTTTCTTTAGAGGCATTAATTAAAGGTATCAGATGGCTTTGAATGATACGAGTGAAGGAAATTAAATACCAGAAGTCATGAAAAGGTAAATAAGCTCAATGAGAACTCGACATCTAGTAATATCACTAAGAACACATATATTGGCACGAAGAGGTTAGCTAGGGCGTAGATGAAAGTCAGATAGACGAGGTTGAACCAAAACTGGACACGGTTCATACCTTCATGTGGGCAAGGAGCATGTTCAGTTTGTTGCAGAGGTTGAGTCTTTTGAACCATTTGAAGAGACTGGTGAAGAGGGACTAAACTTTGTCAATGAGATTGGTTTTCATGGTGAGAGTTTTTAATATCAGCAAGGGAATAAGAAATTCAGTGGAATTGATTAGAAGGGTGGCTTCACAAGAAATTAGAACTCTTCTAATTACATCCATAATTATCAGAAGCCCTTTCAGAATAACATCAGCTTCACAAGGAACTATGGATCCTCAACTTACCAGAATCCTTCTGCAATAACTCAAGCAAGTATGATGGAAGGTATGCTAGAAAAAAATCATGGACAATTAGCAGAAACAAGGTGAAGAAACTTCAACAACAACAAAAATGGATGTTATGTACAAGGATTTGAATGGGTAATTTGAAACACCAAGCACCTACATCAAGAAGCTGGATGTTATTTTAGAGTTTTCAGGTACATGTGTGTTTGGAGCAATGTGGATATTGTGGAGCACTCTGGAGCTTAATGATGAAGAAACTTGTAGCTACTGAAGAAATTAAAAGTCATGAGTCAAGATTTAGGAAGAGCGTCAATCGACATAACCTCCTTGGTGTCCCTCGACACATGCGCGAGTAGACGAGCTGACTTAAAGCCAAGGCCGACTCAAGCCAGAAGATCCATATAATAAGAAGACTACCACTGGACGACTTTATACCTAGTATTTAGGTGTTTTGCCATTGGTTGGGCAACACGCCACCCACAAACTATTCCACCTTTTTTAGATGTTTTTTAGTTAAGTGTTTTGGAGAGAAGATCAAGACTCATTCAGAGATTTGTATTGGAACTCCATTGTTTTCTTACTCTATCTATTTATGCATTCTATTCAGATTATTGTTATGCTTTGCCTAATCATGTTTGAGTAGTTTCTCTTGTTAGGTTTAGGGTTTTACTAGGGTTTATATGAATTTCTGAGATACAGAATTGCTATGGTGAATCTATTAAGGATCCTTTAGCAGAATTGGACTTATTGCTTGTGTTCTAGAGTAGCTAACTAGAACTCTGAATTTAGGATACTGACACTACGATAGTAGTTTCATTACATGTTATTAATTCTTTTGAGCTAGGTTGTTCCATACGTGCAAGAGCTGGTCTATATTAACTCATTAAACGTATCGATTAGGATGATAATGCTTGCCTAAGGTAGCAACGATCGACACTCCTCACATTGTATCGATCGACGCTTGTTCCGTGTTTGCATGCGACAGCTGGAACAAAGACTTAGGCATCTGATTATACTTACAGTGAGAGCTGGATATCTTACTATTGCATTCGAGTTCTCAGACGGTTTTTTACACACCCTTAGAATCTATACATCATAATTCTATTTCATGAACCCTAAGTCTAGCTATTTTATCATATCGTTTACAACCAACTACTTAAATTGTTCTCTAATATTCATTGTTATAATAATTACTTGCCTAGCTTAATCTTAATATATATAGTCTATTGTGTGACCATGCTTTATGTGAATTAGATCCCTAAGGACTACAACTGAACCTCTTATTTGTGAGCGAAATATTATCTAGGGTAATTTGAGCGATATGAATTAGGTATATATATATATTCTAAACAAAAGTCGGTCTAGAAATTTAGTTGAACAATATCAAATCTGATTTAATGCTTGTTTGATTCACTGGATTCACAACGCAGGTTTATTTATTTATTTTTATTAGAGAAAGGCATCTTATAGTTTTATGTAATGAGAGCTGGGTAACTTACTGTTTTCATTCGAGTTCTATAATAGAACCTAATAAAACCCTAAACACCTATTGATTACAGTTTTGATTCTCGTGTTTAATTTACCTAAGCCTAGCGCTTTCTCATGATAAGTTACAACCAATTTACTGCTTTGTTTTCTTCTGTACTCTTCCTTGGTTAGCTTAGCTTGAAACCGATAGTCTATTGTGTGATCCCTAGTCCATGTGTATTCAATCATTAAGTACTACAGATACCCTCTTATTTGAGAGAGT